AGATATGTGAATCGATATGAGGAATTTAGGCCAGTTCATGCTTAGTTTTTCTCGCGAACATGCTATGTGTGGCCTCAAACTGACATTTGCGCGTTTATTCTATTTTCCGCTGCCCTATTCATAGCTAATTCGACCAATGCTATGCGCACCAGCAGTTGGTTTTTTTAAGGTTTCGGCCGCAAATTGATTTTTATCGTGTGATCGGAGTGCAGATTCGCCATTGCGTCCACCATTACATGTGACAGGCGTCGTTTTGTTCTCTCCTATTCGGAAAGAGCTTGCTAATTTCAGAAGAGGTTGCGTGACGTGTAACCGCTATCGATTCGTGCGCATTCGTTGTTTAGTTCTGTAACGTCATCTCAGCTGTTCCGCCCCATCACCAATTTCGTAATGGCAACGCCTGCAATGGAATGTGAGTCGTCTCTTCTGAGTTTTAAATTAAATCTTTTCAATGTTATATAATCTGCTGAAGCTGTTGAAATAAAGCGGCTTATGTGCGCTGAAGATGGTGTCACAATGAAATTACTTGAGGAGCGCAGAGCTTATCAGTGCTTTTTCCAGCTGCCGACGCTGTTTTTGACAGCTATAATGGCGAATCTCAACTTAGTGATGCCGAAACTGCATTACTTAAAGATGAATTAAGAAAAGTAGGTGAAGCTTTTCACGAAAGTTTTGTACTTTTCGACCCATAGTATGTTCTGTGTGAATTGCAGACTGAAGAAGAAATCCAGACACTCAAGCAAGTTCTTTTGGCTCGACAAAAGCATGCGGCGGAGCTAAAACGTAAACTTGGTCTCAATCCATTGGTTGAACTTGGAAATGACATTAATAAAGGACTCAAGGCAGTGACAGATACTGAAGCGTGAGTACTTTATAAGAGTTATTACATTTCTTCCATATCTTGAAAAAGGAGTTCTGATTTAAATGAATTCATTTTCTAATGCCATGAAGAGAATGAATCACGTCAAGTAAAGTAACTTAATGCCTTTTTTCCATGCGATTACGTAAGCGCTAATTTCTGCTGCCATCTAGCTACAATTCAATATCTGATGCAAACTTGTTTTGCTAAGTTATGCACTTATACCAGCATTACAGCTGTCGATTGCTACAAAAACTAGTTTCACGTCGCCAGTAAGTGGTGAGCATTGCGCTTTGATATAACACTATAAGATCCCTAGAATGATACTTTTAAAAGCATGCCATCCTTCTGAAAGGTCTAAAAAGCTAATAAGATTCAACAACATTAATGATTTGTGCACTAAGGCATTGATATTGTGTTATATGCACAAGGGT